GGCTATTGTAAATAACGCTGCAATGAACATAGAGGTGCATTTATTTTTTTGAGATACTGTTTTCTTTTTCTTCAGATAAATACTCAGAAGTGGAATTACTGGATCATATGGTAGTTCTATTTTTAATTTTTTGAGGAAACTCCATACTGTTTTTCATAGTGGCTGCACCAATTTACATTCTCATCAAAAGTGCACAAGGGTTCCCTTTTCTCCACATCCTTGCCAACAATTGTTATTTCTTGTCTTTTTTATAATAACCATTCTAACAGGTGTGAGGTGATATCTCCTTGTGGTTTTGATTTGCATTTTCCTGATGATTAGTGATATTGAGCATCTTTTTATGTGCCTGTGGGCCATCTGTATGTTTTCTTTGGGAAAATGTGTATTCAGATTCTCTGCCCATTTTTTAATTGGATTGTTGTTTTGCTATTGAGCTGTATGAGTTCTTTATGTATTTTGGATGTTAACCCTTTATTGGATATGTGATTTGCAAATATTTTCTCCCATCCAGTAGGTTGCCTTTTCATTGTGTTCATGTTTTCTTTTGCTGTGTAATCTTCTTGAATTCTTAAACCAATTCTCAATTAAGAATGGACTAGTTCAGAGGAAAAAGACTTTTAAAAAAATCTATGATAGAAGCTATTTAAATAAAGAAGAGTATCATGACATTCAATATATGTTCCTTCCTTTTCTCTATTTTGTCTCTAACTGAATCAAAAATTCTTTGGGTTCAGGGATGCACTTGTCTATCTATGTTTACCTGTATCTATATAACAATGCCATTCCAGAGACGTTCAGTAAATATTTGCTGAGCAAATAAATAAATGAAAGATATGCCTAACAGTGTTGTAGTCTGTTGATTTTTGTTCAAGGATAAAAGCAAAACAGTCACACCTCATAAAGGTTATGGGAAAATATAAAGCCCAGAATTTTGCTTGGAAATTTGTGCTTTATTTTTATTTTATAAGAGGTTATTTAACATATATGAAAAAATTATCATGAAAGACATAAATTCTTCATTCAAATGGAACTTGCTAAAAAGGTCCCATATGATTAACATCTGGCTAAATTTAGAATAAAACCCACTTTTTCAAAAGTTAGCATCTGATAGAACAGAATTCATGTTTGAGGTCTCATATTTGAATATTAAATTTAACAATCTGATCTTGGACACTTTCCTATATTTTTCAGTACCTTCATTGTAAAAAAGCAGTCCAATATCATTCCATCTCAGCGGTTTTTGCTAAAGACTAGCTAATAAAAGACTTTAAATATTTTGTGTTATATAAAAGCTAATTTACCAAAGTAGGTATTCTCGGTTGTCAGTTTGAAAAGCAGTAATTTCATAATAAACAAGAGCCAGTTGCAGTCCCAAAGAGCACTAACTTGAAGGAAAAAGCAAGAGATGGGAGAAGAATTGTGAGGTTTTATAGATTCTTGTCTGAGGCTAGATGTTGTCTCTGAGGTCAGGCTCTATCTGGCTGTGGCCTGCAATGGGTTCAGTGCTGATGCAAGTATACGGCCTATATATATGTGCTGCCAGGCCAGGATTCCCTAACTTCTCCTGACAGGAGCCCCTTCTAACATAAAAAGATGATTTTACAGCATTCCCCCACCTGACAGTGGTTACATGTATGTTATGTATCAATTAAAAAACATACGCCCCAAAGCCACCTTGAATTCAGTATCAATTTAAAATGAACACATTTTAATACTCACAACAGAAACTCAATATATTTTTTAAAATAGTGTTAGATAGAGATATAGTCTATAGATATTATTTGGATTTACTAACCCCTTGAAAAAAAATCCCACTACCTGTCGGATTGGAAATTGCTGATCTGGCTGATGTCTTTAAGTCACTTCCTAGTTGGAAAATTCTTTATGGCTTGATTATTTTCTTTCCAAGCTGTTCTGTCTTCAAATATGTTTTGTGCCTTTAAGAAGAATTATGATTGTACTTCATACTATGTATATATATTTAAATGAACGATTAATGAAAATTGTTCCCAATTATTAAAAAAAAAAAGGAAGAAGACTATTTCTTCCCTGATGTGTCATGACGGAGTCATTCTCGAAAACTAATGGCTAGAAAGTTGAGTAAACACAGAACCAGTAGAGATTTCTTCACACCATGTGAAATCAGCCCATAGAAGAGCACATTGCTGTGGAAAATTTTGGGATAAACGCAAGGATTTTTTTTATGATGATATCTCATGCTCGCACGCATCAGCTACGAAGTGAAAAAATTCCTCCCCCTTATCAATACCGTAGAGTTGATTGTTGCAGCGTGACCTCATTCTTCCCAATGCATTCCCACCCCATCCTCCTTTTGAGTATGAAGCACAATACTGGATTTGATGAAACAAGACATTAATCAGGACTAATAAATTCTCCTTCCTGTCACTCCTTGCAAGTACCTGATGGCGTCACTATGCAGAATAAGGAAATGCTCCCAGTTGACATCCCATTCTTTCAATTTCTGCCTTAATTTTTCAAACACTTAAGCTATTTCTTTTCCAGATCCAATTTGTAAAACAAAAGCCATTATGTCGGCTTTCCTTAATTCTAATTTACCAAACTTGTGATTCCTGTCAACACTCCATAAAACTGTAACTCTTTGTTGCAATCATCTTTCTTGGTTCCATTTGTTCTTTTACAAAAGAGCAGTTAAGTGAGAAGTCACTTACTGCCTGTTTTCTTAACAGGTTCAGAAGCTAGACTTAGGAGCCCGTCATTCTACTTCTATCCTACTATGCATCCATTCATTTAACTCATGAATGTTGACCACCTACCAAGTATCATCATCCTAATCATCCATGTTTACATATAACAAAAGTTTTTTTTGTTTTTTTTTTTTTGCTGAGGAAGATTAGCCCTGAGCTATTATCCATTGCCAATCCTCCTCTTTTTGCTGAGGAAGATTGGCACTGGGCTCACATCCATGCCCATCTTCCTCTACTGTATATGTGGGACGCCTGCCGCAGCATGGCTTTGTAAATAATGTGTAGGTCCGTGCCTGGGATCTGAACCCTCGAACTCTGGGCCGCCAAAGCAGAGAGCACGAACATAACCACTATGCCACTGGGCTGGCCCCCAATAATAAGTATTTTTAATGAATGCTAACTCTGTGCTAGGCACCATGGTAAGCACTTTCATTACGCTTCTATGAGTTAGATAGTATTATTATCCCTATTCTACACATGAGGAAACTGAGAGAGATTAAAAAAGTTGTCCAAGGATTTACAAGCAGACAATCCATAACCAGAACCCATGATCCTAACCACTGAAGGAAGGATGAAGTATTTGTTTCCAGCATGAGAGTTCTGGATATTAAAACACACCACCCGGGGTGAGGGAGAAAGAGGTCAGAAAACAAAGGAGAAAAGAAAAGGAATAAGAGGAAAACAATTAAAAGTAGAAAGGTAAGGAGTTATCAACATCCATCAAATTCCACTTTCTATTCAAATATGTTTTCATTACTGCTAAATTGACTCACTGTTCTCAGGCCCTACAGGGGAATACAATAAAAAGTAGGACAATGTATGTATTCGTACAGATCTGAACATATGACTTATGAACAAGAAAAGTTAAACAATACAAAGTAGTTTCATCAGGTGTGAAGGGCCAGATCTATAATTTTACGAGTCTAGGGGGACGATAAACAATACAAGCTGTAAGAGATCAGAATGAAAAGAGATCCCTGTAGGCTCAAGAAATCCAGGCCCTTGAGGAGAAAAACGAAAATGAGTAGGATTTGACTATTTCCAGTAAAAGGCAGCCGTTCCCCTGAACTGGAACTCCATCAGCAAAGGCAGAGTGACTTTTGCAGCCTAGCTGAGGTGGGACAATTTGGCGACCTAGTGGGAGCTGAGGTTGAAAAGATTGATTTGGTTCACATTGCGGCAGGCCTTGTCCAAAAGGCAATGGGAAGTCACTGAAAGATTTTGCACCGGGAGCGACAGGATTAAAGCAAAATTTGGGGAAGTTAAATTAAAAGCAGTAGGCTGATGGATGGTAAATAGGACAGAGAAAAAATAATTTTAGGCTTTTCTTCATAATTACTAGACTTTTTTTTTAATTGAAGTGTAACGGACATACAATATCCTATTAGTTTCAGGTGTACATCATAGGGATTAGATATTTATATACATTACAAAATGATCACCATGATAAGTACTAGACTCTGAAACCATAAATGCCTACTATACCATGCTGGAAGCAGAGGGGCTGAGAAGAAACGTGTAGACACGTAAGGCACTTCTGGGTGGTGTCGGTATGAAAACAAGGAGAGCGCCTGAGCCGCTGACAAACTTCAAGAATGTCCACAAGTCACTCTATCACGCACGCAGCTTTCCAAAAGCACGTACTGGGAACACCAGCCTTGGCTGGAAGACAAACTTTGATTCAAGTTGTGCCTGTCACCCAGAGCAACAAAAACCACCCACTACCGGGCAGGTGACCCCAAAAAGCAAACCAACCCATCTGGTCCACGCTCCCCACCTCCTCCCGCGGGAGTCAGAGGGAGATGGAAAAGTTCGGGGAGTAGTCTAAGGCTAACCAGAAGAGCATTTTCTCATTCCTCAACCACTCTCAGGTGTTCTGAGAGGGAGGGTGACATCCGGACAGTCCTCCGGCCACTCCTTCCCCGGGGCCGATTATGAAACTCTGGGCACTTTGTACCTCACCCGCTAGTTAGTCCTTGGGCCCCAGGCCCCTCCCCAGACTTATAAAGGTCGCAGCGCGGGGCAGTTGAGCTCACTTGCCTGACAGGCCCAGTGTCCCAGGGACTGGCTGACGCGCGGCCCCTGCAGGCTCTCCGCCGCGCTCCTGCCGCGGCCGCGAAGCCCCGCCGGCTCCTGCCCGGGCCAGTGCGCCTGCTGCCCGCAGCCG